TTTACAGATGTCTCTCTTTAATTAACTTATATGCACTTTTGTAAGCACTTTTTGTAACCTCCAGAGCTGACTGCAATGAAGAGCTTGAATACCAACTGTATGAAAAGCAACTTCATTTTGTTCATTTTAAACTTGAGAGCAGCTAGTTTGATTTGCTTCCCCTTAGCTTTTACAATAGAATGAACAATGAGAAATATTTTCCTACTGATATCTCCATACCCCTCAAAGTTTAACAGATTTTCATCATACCCCCTCCAAAGTCATCGCTTTTCCAAGCGGTTTCTATCTGCAGAGACTTCTCTCTACCATTGACCTTTAGGATGCCTCACCACCAGTGCTTAATACTTTGTACTTTGCAAGACATGGGTGTCAGTTTTAGAAAGCCTCTAAGTTAAACTTTGCACAGAGGCATTAGAAGGGTAGGCTGGCTCGTGATGTGGATGGCTGTGCCCCAGGAATGCAGACCTCATGCTCTACTGAACCTTCCTTGTCATACATGGTTTCCCTGACTTCAGACAAGTCATTGAAACCCCATCTTGCTTGAATCACATCCAAAAACACTCTACAGGTGTTCCTTCTGCCCTCACTCCTCTCGTGCTCCTCTTGGATCAACAGAGGTTTGAAGATTTGAGTTATAACCCTTGCAGGACAAGGCCATCTGATATCTATTTGAATAACCTACAGAATAAAGCCAAAACATTGCCCTTCATAGTGATCATATTATAGAATTGGATATTTGCCTATGTATAATAATCAATTTATTAACATACGGGTGTGTAAAACAAGTGAATGACCACACAGTAAAGGAATACAGATTTGTGAGCAGAAATATGACAGACTACATCTAATGCCACAGGGATTAAACACTATGCCATGGTTTAACCCCAGCCAGCAAGTACGTACCATGCAGTCACACACTGCTGCCCCCCACCATGGTGGGATGGGGAGAAGAACTGGAACAAAAGGAAAGCCTACAGATTGAGATAAGAACAGTTTAATACTTAAAGTAATGGTGGTGTTCAAGGCCAGGCTGGACAGAACCTTGGGTGGCATGGTTTAGTGGGAGATGTTCCTGCTCATGGCAGGGGGGTTGGAACTGGATGATCTTCAGGTCCTTTCCAACCCTAACTATTCTATGATTCTATAATAGCAATGAAAAGGCTGGGAGGGTGTAAACCCCAAGGAAAATAGACAAGAAACCCCCAAGTGATGCACAATACAATTGCTTCCCACCCACTGACCAGCACCCAGCCTGACCCGAGCAGAGATCCATCCCTTCTGGGTGACTCCCCCCAATTTCTATACTGTGCATGATGTGCTGTGGTATGGAATACCCCTATGGCTGGTTTGGGTCAGGTGTCCCGTTTCTGCTTCCTCCTGGTTTCCCGTGCCCCTCCTCACTGTCAGAGCATGAGACTGAAAAGTTCTTGATCAGGGTAAACATTACTTAGCAACAACTGAAACATCGATGTATTATCAGCATTGTTCTCATGATAAAGCCAAAATGCAGCACTGCATCAGCTACTAGGAATAAAATTAACTCTATCCCAGCTGAAACCAGGACACGCTACCAGGGCTGAAAGATGCTAGTCAACAGTGGAAAGTTAAGAATCAGAACAGAGCACTGGCAGCTGAATCACACCTACCCAGGAAACCCACTTGAGAGCAGTTCACAAGAGCACCTGAAGATGCATTATTTTCTTGTTGTGTTTTTGTATCTAAGCACAATTACTTGGTATGTGCATACACGTTTCTGTATGTGAAAAGCATTGTCTACCAGGCTGAGATACTTAAGTCTGAACAGAACATCCTCAGCTGCTGCTTGAGCCATGACACAGTGAATTTCCTGGCTTTCAAAGTCACACAAGACCTCACATCAACATGAATTACGTTTTTAGCCACAGCTGCTGTTATTTTTTGGTTTACCATTAAAGATGTGCTTGGCATGGCATGTATGTTAATACAAACATTTTGGCTTTAACTTAGTGATGTAACTGAGGTAATGGCCTGGAGAAGCAAGGCCAGTGTCTGCCGTCCTCCTGGAAAAGCGCAGGGTTTGCCCTCTAACAAATGCCTCAGACCTGACATTACTGCCCTACACACAACTTGGCAACAGCATGATCCTGCAGGTGTTAGGCGCTAGTATAGCTGGAAAGCAGTGATATAATAAAGGGATGATTTTAATCTTGTCATCTCAGTCATTTCAAAGGTGAGGTAACTTCATTCTATCAACACTTCAGATGTGAGCCTTAGGATAGAGAGCAGTCCACAGCACATGCACAGCAACAATTGCACAGGCTGCAGTTGTTTGACATCCACTATCTCTGATCCAGTTGCCTAGCACTGGCCCATACCCATAAAAATGAAGGGGACATAAAACTGTGACAGTTAGAGTGGAAAATAAGAATTTATGCTCATGCAGCCATTGTAGCACAGCAGGCAAACAAACGGACCATGTGAATCCTTTCTTTCAGGTGTTCTGTCTAGGAAGGGTTTCATTCCACAGTCTTTCCTCTCTTTTTCAGGAGTATAGATGGCAATTAGCATTGCAAGCACTTGCATCCCCATGGCTCTGGCTACTTCCTCCTCACAGGCACTTCTGATGCCAAGACATCAACATGGAATTCTGCCCCTTTATGCAATAGTGATCCATCATATGCGTACCACCTCCATGGCTGATCTCCCCTGGTTACAGTCCTACCCCTTTCTGCTGCTGAAGGCTCACCTTTGCACCTGAAGGCTGACCCTGAAGATGATCTTTTGTGTTTGGGGGAAAATTATACACACAGGCACGTCACCAAGGAGAGCAGTTTTGGGCACCTCAGTATAAGAACACCAAACTAATAGACTGTGTCCAGAGGAGGGTGCCCAAAATGGTGAAAGCCCTTAAGGACAAGACTTAGGAGGATCAGCTGAAGTCACTTGTTTGTTCAGCTTGCAGATGAGAAGACTGAGGAGTGACCCCATCACAGTCTACATCTTCTTCAAGAGAGGCAGTGGAGAGAGGTGATGATCTCCTCCCTCTGGTGACCAGTGACAGGACATGAGGAAGTGGAATGAAGCTTCTGAATGAAGTCCAGATTAGACGTTAGGAAAAGGTTCTCCCCTGCGAGGGTGGTCAGGCACTGGAACAGGCTCCCCAGGGAAGTGGTCATGCACGAAGCCTGTCAGAGTTCAAGGAGCATCTGGACGATGCTCTTAGTCGTATGGTTTAGTTTTAGGCAGTCCTGCAAGAAGCAGGGAGTGGGACTCAATGATCCTTATGGATCCCTTCCAACTTGAGACATTCTATGATTCTATATCTCCAGGGAACCTTTTTAACCAAGCCAGCAAAGTACACCTGATATATCCTTTCTCTTTAGCAGCCACTCAGCCACTGGGCAGAGTGTACCGCAGGGCACAAACACACTGGGTTTCAAATACACAGATGTTGCCTTGGCTGGCAGAATTACCAAATAAACTACACAAGCTGGCCATAAACTCAAGGATCTCCATGCCTACACATTCATTTGGGGCAGTACATGTTGTTTGGCTATCTCAGTCAAAGAAGTTCTACACATACTGTGGGGTCCTTTTATATTTCCCCCTCCAGTCAAGACTTGCAGATGTATTTTTCTAGGCATGACAAAAATACAGATGATGTTTTCCAACACTTTTCTGCAGAAATCAAAACATAAGAAAACAAGAACTTGCTTCAACTGCAGCACAACTCATACTGTAAACACTGTGCTTTCCATCAGACTGACTCTCACCACCTGCTAAACACGAGCTGGTTTCCAAAGGCTGAATCCTGAGTCTCAAAGGCTAAAGAGTGGCTGTCAGCAAGAGGTCTGCAGGAAGATGGATGCAGAAGTGTGCACTTTATAGCCCCCATGTCTCTAGTCTGGCTCAATAGTAGTTCCTGCCATGAGCAACCCTCATTTAGGTTGTAACTTCACATACATTATCACTATGTACAATCAATATATCATGATCATAGAAAGAACAAATGAGAAGATGCAGTGGCGATAAGTGCCATATTCTTGCTAGCGCAGCACTCTTCCTACCAGACCACAGTCCAATATAATTTTAAATTCCCTGAGCAAATGGGTAGCCACAGACCCTGGAAAACAGCTCTACAGATGCTGAATCCCATTTTCAGCATGAACCATGACTTCCTCCTCAATACATCCATCTATCTCCCAGACCTTCATGTCAATCTTTATCCATCATTTCCCACAAATTGAAAATTCATTTTGATAAGGAAAACATCCACAACCAGGTGTGATACGGAGCTACAGAGAAGAAGAGCTCCTTCTCCTCTGCATTCTAGGTCTTCAGACTCATTTTGTTGTGGGGAATGGGAAGTTTGCAGCCAGAATTGCCTGGAAACCAATCTTTTTTAATGCAAATTAATCTACTTATGGTACTTGTTTTACATTATTGACAAACATCATTGAAAAGGTTTTCCAAGACAGATAATCTAGCAATTTTCAATGGTTAGTCTGTATCCTCAGTTTTAACCTCCAAGTCTTGTTACTTCCTGCCTAGTGTTTGCAGTAAGATATTCTGGCATTTGTCCTTCAGGTCACTAATGAAAATATCCAATCAAAAGAAACAGTGTGACAGTCTCCTCATGACCCAGATTTAATCCTGTTGAAAATTCAATAAACTCAACATTATACTTTCCCTTTGTTTTCCAACCTTCTAGCCAGCTGCTTTACTGCATTATCCTCCACATACTCACTGCTGCTTACACAAAGCAACAATTATGATTTCCACTTGATAGCATTTTAAATAGCCAATGCACAAAGGAAACTCAAAGAACACAAAGGGGACAAGCAATGGACACTCAGAATCTTATCTGCAGGAGGAACATAACACAATCAAAAAGTTCCCCACAGAGATCCAACTGTATCACTTCGCTTGCATCCTGTGCACTCCAAAAGCAACCTGTGAGCTATGGAAACCAACAGCAAGCAACTCTAATTTAATTAGTCCAATGAAGGATTAGATCTTACCTTCTCTCCTTTTTCTCCTCTGCCATAGATTCTACCCTAGAAATGAAAGAAGGAAAAAGGCATATCAAAGGACATTGTAAATATGTATTTCACCTTTTCCTTGTTATATATCTGAAATACATCTATCTCTCCATATATATCACATCTTTCTCTATATCTATCTATCTGTACATACATACAAGTCACAGGACAGCTGCTACAGGGAAAGCAATTTTATTTGGGCATAATTCCTTAGTAATAATTCAGTGACAAATTAAAATAGTGAACCTATCCTCACTTCTCCTGCTGCAGTCAGAAACACATCTTATTTTTTATTCAGGGCAGAGTCTGACATTACAGTTCCAAAATCAAAGATGCCAACAATACTCATGAGAATAAATTTTACATAGGGTTAAAGATTTTCTCACCTAAAACCTCAGCCTGACATTTGCATTAATTGCAGCTGAGGAAAGCTCTACCTTGGTCATATGAATGTAAAACAGTTGAGAGATTTGCATCTTCGTTATGTTCAGTTGCCTCACACTGTCCCCATTAGATGCACAGGTGTGTTATAATCAAGTACACCCAAGTAACATATTTTAATTAGAAGGCCAACACTAAGTCAGTTACCAGCTTTATTCAGGGATGAACCCGTTTATTCCATCCTGCTCCAAGAAATTACAGCGGGTGGCAGAAAGATTAGCTTCCCCCTGGGATTAAGGCCCAGCAGAGGGAACATATTCCACAGAGCACATTGACATGGTGAGCAAGTTCTCACCATAAAGGAGAAAAAACTACTTGCATTTCCATCTCGTTATGTAAAATCATTCTGTATTTCTTACTTACTGACTCTCCTTTTTCTCCTCTGAGCCCAGGAAGCCCTTGGGTGCCACTTTCTCCCTTGAAAAAGAAAGAATGTTAATACCACAGATTTGGTTTAATTCATTCCTTTCTTGACAAGCATAGAAATAACAAGTGAGATTTCCTCTTACAACTTCCTTTTGGACTTGTAGTGTTTGTATTTTGTGGCCAGCTTTGCATTGTTTTGGGAAGCAATGCAACAAGAGTTTGACTGAGATTGCAGAAGCTTCTTATCCCACCACTCTACAGCCAAGATTTCAGCTCCTGCCATGAGGTTTGGTGTTCCTCATTGCATTTATGCTGAATTGAATGTCCAAGTTCTCAAATTGATTTTATAACCTATGTTTCAAATAAAAATACTGCTAGAAGACTTCAGAGTATATTGGTAAGGCAGAGAGCTTTCTCTTGGGAGGTACTTCACTAGGTCTTACTTTCTATTAAGCCAGGAAGAACTTGGAAAGTTGGTTTGCATAAGACCTAAAGGGTACACACCTAAAATATGGGGAAAATAAGCCAGCAAATATGTCAAGATTTTTAGAGCTATTAAAAATATCAAACCCTCTTGTTTTCATTCATGGTAGACTTCATAATCAGCTAAATCCTGCCTTCTGATGCAGGAGTGTGCAGCACACACACTGTTACTTTCCTTGCTGGCTCCAATGAAAGAGAGGGAAGGGAACACAGGTGAAAAGACAGCTGAAAACATACAGATTATGATGGGTAAATGAATGAAAACTGGAGAAGTAAATACATAGGGAGGAAAGGAGAAAATGGTTAATCAAAACCCCACTAAAACCTTTTCTTCATGTGCCTCCTAAAAAGGACAGGGATGAAAGGGATAAAAACCCCTCCAAGCTGATGCATAGTTACATAAATATTCATCAGGTACAGAGCTAAAAGTGATGTCAAAAACAGCAAACAAAAATACCTGCAAATCATTTTCACATACTTCTCTGCAGTCACAAAGCTGGAAGAAGGACCAGCTGAGCATAGACCCATTGCTAAAATGAGTTTAAGTCAATGTGTAGAGTTGACACCAGCTCCTTCAATTGCACTAGCACTGGGAGCTGCTGGAGAGCAGAGGGCTCTGCCCTCACACCACTACCTAGTTCCTGCCTGATTCTCACCCAAAAGGTATATACCTGCAGTACACTGTGCTGAGCTCCCCATCCATCACTGACAAATACATCCTCACCTATTTGTGTCTCCCACTGTCTTCTGCTTGTAGGGAGTTCAGACACTTCAGTATAGACTGGCATCAAGCTGAAAATGTCTCCAACCTGAAGCAGCACCCTCCAGTGCTACAGCAGCAAGAGGCTCAATGACCCCTGTGCTCCCCAGATCTCACAGGAGTATTTAATTTGTGGCTCTATTTGATTTATCCTGATCTATGCCCCCCGCCCCCCCCCCCAATGTGTTTAGCCGAAACCAGAAGCTGAAACATTTCTCAGGATCATGCTTTCTTTCCCCAGGTGAGGACAGGCTTCTGAAAGCACAGGAAATATGAAAGTTTCTTTCTTTCTTTAACTTTTATCTCTTTTTTTTTTTTTGCCAAAAGAAAGAAACCTCACAGAACAAGCTGCATATAGGCAAAACCACAGTCACAGTCAATTCAAATAGGCTGTGGCAAAGCTCTTAAAAGTTTTCTTATGCAGCCACCTCTTTTAAGTCACTTCAGCTATACCGAATCTCCTTTTAATGGGGGGGGGAAAAAACAAATCCCGCTACAGCATGTCTGATACACTGGACTTCACAGACTTCCCAAAGGCAGGTAAGCAATGTTGGTTTTATGATGTAGACAAAACTACATCTCGCAGAAGAGTGACTCTCTCTAAACTCAGATCAACAGCAGTTCTGGAAGAAAGCAGAAGCCTACTGACTAACAGCCCAGTGCCCCAACCAGCCAGCCTGCAAACAACACAACATGCAAGGTAGGTATGGAAGGAAAGTAAATTAGCCTGAGCTATCATTAGCATCTAGAATTTAGCAATAAGATCCTGCTTCAGGCATGTCAGTCAATTTTTCTAAAGCTATTCCCTGCCTCACTCTTTCCCAATACCATCCTTTATTGTATCTCCTTCCAAAACATGCATATTCTGTTTGCATGCATTATCCTCAGTTTGGAAGCATGGGTAACTCAGGCAGAGGTTCTCATTGCTGAGGAATGTTTTCCTCTATAAACTGCAAGTACTCCTGTATCTCCCTGCCTTTGGAGGCTTAAATTATAGAGGAACAGAAACTCATTGTCTTCCCACACTTATTATACAAGTCAAATATTTTCACTGATCAGATGGTACCAAAAGAAAAGCCTGTCCAAACCTCCAAAAAGAAGGAATATGTTATGGGAGATCAGGAGAGCAGAGCCTAAACACCAGTCCTTCCATTTTCAACTTATATAACAGCCACATTCACTTAACAGACCCTCAAACTGGCTTTTTTAAGAAAGGAAAACAGAAAGAATCATATTATTCCTTCTTTGGATAAAGGATGAAAAAGACATCAGTCTGAGGAAAGTGAAGCAAACCCAAGTGCTGCCTTAGCTTGGAGAAGGAGCTTCACAGTCTTTCAGCATTTGCCAACCTCCCCAAAGTTCCCTGTCCTGTGAGACAAAGCTCCCAAATGCCAAAGGGGCAGAGGGGTGTATCTCTGACCTCTCTCCCTGTTTATATCCCCTGGTGGGGCTTGTTTCTCAGGTGAATCCTACCACCTGTGTGCTGGTTTCCTAATACAGCTGAACCAGCTGCTTTGTGGGTTCCTAGATGACCATATAGTCTCTCACAATGCACTTCTCATTATCGGTTATCAGACTGTAAAATCTCTCTTGGGCCCCAGTCATTTAGAGGTAGAATTCAGCTTTGCAACTCATCCCAAATAAGGGATACTCAATAGTGATGGTGTCTATATAGAAAATGTTTAATTTTGACTCAGAGTCCTGCTGTCCCTGCTCATAGCAAGGAGTTGGAACTCGATGATCTTTAAGGTCCCTTCAACCTAAACCATTCTATGTCTATGTTTCCATCTTTTCCTGATAATTTCTTTCCTTATTCATTTGTTCACTCCTTCCTCTCTGTTTAGTCAATCAATGTTTGGTCTTTTCTTATGCTGTACCTGCTTGCTAGCCTGTTTTAATCAAACCTAAGAGTATAGGAGAGATCTTATGATTATTTTTAGTGTGGGCCCCCATGGGGTCTTAGTCTTTCCTTAATAAAGTATCAGGTGGTAACACTGGGGAATTGCAAATAGCATTGATTTTCTGTCCCATGGCCAGCATTTTAGCCTGGGTAGCTCAGTAATGTTGCAGAGAGAGGAGTGGAGAGTACTATTAGCTCACGCATATACAACAAGGACTGTCACAAGCCGGTCCTTGGCAATAGCGACGTAGTAGCTGCTGCTGAGGGTGATATACATTATTTAATCACAACATCTTTGCATGTCAGGAGCAAAGTCTATTCCTTGCCTTATTTAGCAGATGGAGAAGCTAAGTCTTTTGTCTCAAATCAGCACATCTGTACCAAATTGTTGTCACAGCCTAGATTTAAATCCCCAGCTTCCTGAGAATGCAACACAGTCCTGCCTCAGCTGAATGCAAGTCTCAGACCACAACAGACAGGGAATAGTCACACGCATCTGCATTGCTCCTCAGCAACCCACCTGCAAGAGTGAGATGAACATTTTGGGATCTGATACAGAAAACCTGCTGATGCTGTGCGTATATAGAAACTATTTTGTATTCAAGTAGTACTTCCTGCACCCCAGCAGTGTGCCATGGTACACAGACAGACACCCTCACCAGCACATAGACCTTGTCAAAGCAGTGAAAGACAATGGGATGTCTTGCTGTCGGGCTCTTTTATTATTATCATCATTGTCCTTCTGCAACCTCCCAACAACAGTCATGGCTCTGCCATTCTTCAAAGAGCCCATCATTATTTAAGCTGTCACAGGTTAAAATAGAAAGTTGTTATTTATACACTCATGGAAGCATAAGGAAATATTTTCCGCAGTATCAGTCAGGCACATCTGAGCAGTAATGTGTCCATGTTCCTTCACACCAGCAGAAAGCATACTCCAAAACACATCTCATCAGCCAAAACTTCTCCCTGCAGACAGCAGATGAAGCCTCCCCAAAACCCCCACACCACATTTCTGAGGATGTCTGACCTCCCAAGATCCAGAGGTTTCTCCTTTCCCTTCCCACAGCTTTCCGTAACAATTGAGTAACTTTTGGTGAGGTGCAACTTGCTTATTCAGCAAACAGGTATAAATTCAGCAGCTGAATTTGCAGAATTTATTCAGATGTAAATAGGTTTGAATACAAATTATTGCCAAACATCTTTTTAAGCACACAGATGGTGAAATTTGGAACCAACACCACCGACTTCCACCTCTTCGGCAATATTGAGTCTTCCTTTTCTTCCTGTACAAGTGCTCCCTTTAAGCCAGTTGTCCCACAGGTCTATTTGTGACCAAGCACAGAAGGAAAATGTGTGACCAAGCACATATCAAAGAAGCTTGCAGGATATGCAGGATAATATAGAGTCCGCACTGTAAAACTGGAAGCAGACATCAGGACCACTCTCCTACCCTGTTATCTAGGAAGAAAACTACTGAGGAAAGTGGCCTGTATTTAACATCATGACTCAGACAGTCTTGCTAAAGATACCAGGTTGTGGCTAATCCTTTATCCTAGTCTCAGGAAATGCTCTAACAGCATGACTAGGAGCCTGCTAACTAACCAATAGATACCTATTACTGCTGAGCAAGGCACGGTACAGAAGCAGCACATGGGTTTCCAAGTAACTTCTCATAAAAGCTGTGCATGACCTAATGAATAACATTAACTTACAAATATGCCAGTTTAGAAGCTACAGGAAAAGATTTGGAGCACACTCTCAAGAATGACATAAAGCAACAACAGAGAAGTTCAAATGCAAGCCTAGAGCAAAGATGCAAGATGGACAGAGTCTCTTGCAGTCCCCACCTCATTCAAAACTATCTGAACTCAGTCAGATGCCAAACTGACTTTAATTTCTCAAAATCTTAACTCCTTGACTTGCTTTGAAAGCATTTTATTGTTTTTATGAAGCAAAGGAAGTAGCACATGTTACTGACCTTTTGACCTTTAGGACCTGCAGGGCCAATTGGACCTCTCTCCCCCTAAGACAAATAAAAAGAGATTAATCACACTGATGTTATCATTCTATTGCAAAACAAAGCCCTACAACAACTGGGAACAACCAAAATGTTTTCAGGTTTTAGGGGGGAACAGACTAAACCTGACGTGCCCTCATGAGCAATGACAATGAATCTGGTTTCTCAGATGTCCTAGTCACAGTAAATGTAGGCAAGCGCACTTCTTTTAAAAGCTATGAAGTTTTTTCAATGTAGCTATATTTACCTCCAGAATATCTTCTGTTTTACTTGAAGAAGGATGAATATAACTGGGCTGGGTAAGAATAAGCCCTTTGTTTCCAAGGTTTTTACCAGGACTATCAGCATGATCAAAATCACTAGATTAGGTAAAAAGAAAACATGTGGGAAGATGGCCATTACCTCTATTAACATTCCACCTATGACATACACTTGGCTGTCTCTTTCTACAAAGTGTTTTCCAGCTCTAGGTCTTCAAGTGCTTCACAAATACCCACTTGCATGGTGCCATACCCCTATTTCCAGACCTATCCAGCATGCTTCAAACGAAACACACTCATCCCAACACTCACCTTTTGTCCAGCAGGGCAGGAGCAGTTGAATGTCTTGAGGTGGCCAACTTGCTCGCTACCAACAGTGGGCCTTACTTCCGCTGGAGGTGCTTCAGTCAGGACCGTGACCTGGCACTACACCCAAACACCCAAGGTCATGATAAAGCCTTCAATGCTAGAAAACTTCCACTTCTACCCACTTTAGAGAAACTGCGTAGGCATTACTGGATAACACACAGCTAAATGAGTCCTAGTGAGGAACGCAATCCCACAAAAGCCATTCATTCAAGCAGCAGGGAAAAACATGGCAAAATGAACCATGAATCTCTTTAACCAAGATTGAGGGGAGAAGAATGCAAGGAAGGTGGAAGTTCATAATGACAGCTGGGCACAGGAAACTGGGTAGCAACTGTTTAAGCTCTTCCCAAATAAAACCAGTGGGAAACATGTTGAATATTTCAGGCTACAATTCTGTTGTTCCATCATCACTTCAGGGTTTTGTTTCCCCTCACAGTTTGACAAAGAAAGATCAACTTGGAAACGTCAAACCCCAAATTCCTTATACTCATCCCTCTGCGGTGGTCCTCTTCTGGCACTGCTGTGTTACCCATTATATAGTTAGGTTTCATTCACCATCATTAAACAAATTATAATCCCACACTGCCATATATTCCCTGATTTACGTAATAGACTTCAAGGAAGAGTGTTCATGTGAAAATGAATAAGTGACAAAAAGAATCTTACTGGTCCAGAGGGAATGTCACAGCAGGTCTCCAGCTCAGCATGCCGAGAATCACAGTAAATAACCATCCGTTGAAGATCAAACTAGAAGACAAAGTGAGGCAATATCTCAGAGACAGTGAATTATTAAAGACTGCATGTCCTTTTGCTTGGAAACAAGCAGAGCAGATGAATACAAATAAAAAACAGAGGGGGCTAACTTCCTAGTGATTCTATGGATCCTGTAGACAGTATCCATCTCTTTCTATCAATAATAGACCAATATCTCAGCATGATCCAAGAGTACTGAGCTAATGAGACCTTAAATATGCCTATTAAAATTCTGGTGCAGGTTTTCATGCACATAAGGAGGCAAGTCCTGTCCAAATTTCTGTCTGAGAAGACTTATTCTGACCACCTCCATCCATCCTAGAATTTCATCTAGACATGAAGTTTAGTTTTCCCCTGTTGTGCCTTGCATCTTCTGAAATTCTACCCTGCATGAGAAATGCTATTAGCATGTTTAATATGCACATTCCATCTATTTTGCACAGCTAAGAAAGATTACAGAAGTCTCAAAACACCAAACAATCACACATAAATTATATCAGTTTAATCCTGCTTCTGAATAATCAGGTCCAACCTACAGGCCTAAACTTTGGTTCAACTGGATCGAGTCATTTAATATCAGGTATCTTTTGTGGGGAACTGAAAACATGCCATGATCTTCCTGAGTTAACAACCTTTCTTTTTTCTCCCCAGATCTTCCTATCACAGATGGAAACATTCATAATGCCATGGTCAGACAGCAGAAGACCTTTACATGTGTAGTTCAGTATGCAGTTTGATGGTATTTGTGGATAATTTTCTCCGTATTTCTGATTTTCAATATTTCATATTCTGGGACTAGACAGAAAGATGAAATGTATTCCTCATTTTTAATCTCCATTACAGAGATACAGACAGTCTCACATAAAAAGACAACAAGTGCTGTAGATGATTCAACACCAATCTGTCTTAGCCATGTAACACAGGTAATATTTCAGTGACGCTGCTTCAGGAAAAGGGTATAACCCCTAAACACCCATTCATGTACTGCAAACCCAATGCTGATTGTTACTGCAGCTCTAATCAGCACACTCAGTACTTACATCAATGGGGACACTATCATACAAGCGTTTGCCAATCACAGTCTTTCCTTGAATGTCGATGTTTTCCCTGTCTTCAATAGGCAACACCTGCACCAGTCTGCAGTCTATGTAGAGTGAGACAGCCTTTGACTGAATGCTGAGGGCAATTTTGTGCCAGCTGCGGTCAAACAGATCACTGACTCGTTCATTGCGGAAGACCACTCTCACAGCGTCCTTGGTGAGCCCAACAGCGTTGTACTCTAAAGCTTTGTTCTCTCCATCCAGCCGGATCGAGACCTGAAAGCAGACAGAAGTGATTTTACTAATGAAGTACAAAGCCTTATCCTTACTTTTGCCTGCTTTCTACCACAACTGACACCCCCAGGTCAGGGATGGTACAGCATATGGCAAGAAGCCCAAGCAAATATCAGAGAATGGAGCTTTGTGTGAGATATGTACAGGGAGCCTGTTCTAGTAAATAAAGTCAGGGCAAAGCACAGGCTTGGGTGCAGACCTATGACCATCTAGAGACTTCTTTTCCGAGTATAATCCTTGACATGGTTTCAGCACATGCCACCTTGATGTCTCTCGGGCGATGCCTAGGCATGGCTGGGTGGTAGCACATGTCAGGGGCATCTCCCCAGAGGCAGATAACAAAGCTGAATTTGCTTTGGATCCCTCTAGCCTGTGCAATCCTCCAGTACTTCTGTGTTCTTTAGTGCCATCACAAGTCCTCAGCTATCCCATGGGACATGGACACATGACTTATTGCCTACTATGAAACCAATCTACTGAGCATGTAGCAGAGAAAACCATGTTTCATTTAATAAAGTACAGTTAATAATTGTCTTATAATCCTGTTGCCATTGTCTGAAACTCAGCCAAGTCCTCAAACTGCACCTATCCTTCCTCCAATGTGAGTTTCCCAAATCATTTCAAACACCACTCCCAAAGCAGCAATACTGCTTTAAATGGCTACGTGAGCCCAAACCAACAGCGCAGTTGAGAGCCATTGGAAATACCATAAGCACCATGTTTGTACTGAGTAGAAAACATACAGCCCACTCAAACGGCTCCCTCCTCAAACAGGCTTGAAACTTAGCATGCTGCTAAGAATATGTTATATAGGAACAAGAAGCCCTTTATGTACTTTAATGGTATTCTGAGTACCTGAGAGTACTTGACAGATATTATTAGATCAAATTCTGCAGCAGCCAGGACTCAGGGTTGTGGATCAATAAGGTCCTTATCCTAAGTCACCCACATCCCAAGCAGGGAATCCAAAATGCCTTTGCATGATAGCCAGAAGCCTGTGGAAAAACTTGAAATAGCTCACTGCTCTGCGGTACATCTGTGTGCCAACCTTCTTCCAAACAGGCAAAATGTATTCCCTAAACAGAATTACTTGAACAAAACACCAGAAATCCAAAAGTGGTTTCAAGAGCAAGGATGGTATATTTTTCGCCACCTTTACAACTAACACATTTATCTATCTGCATGCTAACAACAATCAAGGTCCATGCAAACCTACCTTCAGGACTTGAATGAAAGGTAAAGGAGTGAGAGGATAAGGCAAGAAAGCTGGTTCATGCAATAAAAGGTAAACAAGGCTGCTCTTGCTGTCTCAAAGGGTCTCTTACCTGTGGTATGCCGTACTTGTCAATAATCTGCCAAATATACCAGTCTTCTTTCCTGGAAGCCTTCCGGAATTTGAAGGTAGTTACAAAGGCATATTCATCAGGGAGACCTTGGGGAAATACATCCCTAGCATAGGGAGGGGAAAAGAGAATTTAGCAGTGAAGAGCAGAACTTCTAAAGCCCTCTGCATGTCCCAGCAATGCTTCCCAGGTGTATTATAGAGTTCCTACATGATCTGCTTGCTGTACTTGGCAGCCTGCAGAGAGATGAACCTGAGCTTTCACCCTCCAGGCAGTTCTGTACTCAAGGAGCCCTTTTTCATTCCAATACTGAAACTCCCAAATTAGGTAAGAAACAGTGAAAACCTTCAGTCTAGTATCCCTCATGTCAAAACAGTTGGTTTTCAGCTGATGATTCAGCTCATGCAATCTGTAAATCATTCTGCTCTTCTCCAGAGGCACTGGAGACCTGTAGCACCTGAGAATGGGCAGGCAAGACTGAAACCCTCTATAAAGTACCAAGTCATAGCAACAAATATAGTATTATTTGCCCCAAAACAGGCACTATACCTCATGCCAGTCCAAGATTTTCCTTGGCTGATGGCCTGGGAGAACAGGAAAACCTTCTCAAAATAAACATTGAAAACACATTAGGCAGAAATTTACTTAATGTGACACCATGATGCATGCATATTTCTGATGTAACCAAAGCCATGGTTACATCAGACTTATGCACCCAACATAAGAATATACAGTAACATGAGCATACAGGGCTGCACAGAAGGGATAACTAACCCAGTATTTATCCTTTACTGGGTGCTTAAGAGCGAGAATGAACAGAACAAGCCTCCCTCCTAGCTCTAAATCTAGGATCCAGGGGTCAAATTCAGAGACAGACAAAATTTCTATATTAATATTTTTTTATGGATTTATCTTCTTTTTATAGATTTAACTTCTTCAGTCTCCCCTTGAACTCAGGTATATTTATTACATTCACAACATCCTTTGGCAATGAATCACACTTTACTATCCACTGTATAATGAGCCTCCTCTTGTTTGTTTTGGATGTAGCTCAGTTCTCAGACAACACAATTAACTATTCTTTTTCTACATTTTATGCCATTTAGGATTCTGAAAACTTTGCTCATAAAGCCTCTGAGCCACTTCCTTTCCCACCTGAAGAGCCCCATTTATCCTCATTGTTTCCCATGCCCAAGCCAGCTTGCTCCTCTGATCATTCCTAAAATGACCCTTCCTAAATATCATGGCTTTGTTTCTGGATATCCGAGCAGTCAGGCATAAACATCCATTAGAAAACAAAGCATGACAGCTGGCTGTCATCCTAAATGATTCTATGATTCTACAATTCACAAACTAGCCCTCCCTGGTCACAGACCCACCACGCAGCATCACCCATCTCTCCTAAGACAAGGAAAATAACCAGACGCTCCCAGTTAAGAGAAGTGTGTCAGTTGTCTCCTTGTGGCAGAGTTGCCATGGAAAAATGAACAGGCATGACGAGGGCACTGAAAGCCACCATGAAAACCAACAGGATGTTTGGCAAGAGAGAGTCAGCTCAGTCACATCAGCCCTCCCAATAGGGCCCCCTGCCAGATCTCCTTCAACATTGACATGCCTTTGTGCAAGTTTTCTGTCAAAATGTGTTTGCACACTCGTCTTGTCCAAGTGTGTCAAAGAAGATGCATGCCTCAGCTCTTAGCATCACTGACAGTGTTGGCAGCTTTCCTCCCCCCCTTAAGAAACTTCATCCAAGTGGCAATATTCATAGCAGAAAAGGCATTGATTATCGCTCTGTTGCCTTGAACAAAAACCATGGATGTGTCTAAACAAGAGTGCTGCCAGAGGGGACATTTCTCTGTGGCTCATCTCCTCCAACTCTGTCATTTCAGCATACATGCCTTGTGAATTTATTTTCACTCACATAATCATAACTGGGTTTAATAAGTTCCCTTTCTGTCCTGCTCTTTAAGATTCTGACTCACATTTTGGGCACAGACAGCCCTATTGAACTACTTTCCTAGCTACAACCCACCACTAAATCCAACTTCTGACTCAATGAAAAGCAAACAGAGAAATGGGTCCTTATTTAATCGAGTGGTGGCACAAGGTAGGGGATTTACAGCTCTGAGGGTGGTTTGCTCTCTTCCTGATCCATAATGTTTGCTATTGCCACATCAACAGCAGCAGGACACATGCTTTCAGTACTGCTTTTCCCTAATGGCTTTTCAACTCTGCATATGCAGGTGTGCTTGGTTCCAAGTACAGATGACAGTGGCTGTAGCTGAGACATCATTTCTTTGCTGAGCAAGGAGGTATAGAAGCATGTTGTTGAAATTAATCCCCAAGATACCACATTGAGCCTTGGCCTGATGACCTGCAACTAAATCTGGAAGAGGCAACTGTTGGTCTCTGTACTGAGACAGTCTTTCTGGATTCCTCTGAGCTGGGAACAGGAATATCACCATACAAGCTTAGATTCAGAAAAGCTGTTCAGATGCGTTGGGAATTGGGTACCAAAAATCCTTCTGAGTCTGGCCATACCTCATCACACAGAGGCTGACAAATGGCCCATCAGGTGGATTTAAACTGATAGAAAGCTATAATGACCTATTACCTGTCAGCCTCTACTGACTTTTAAAGGTGATGTGGAACTGGCTGTAAGTTCCCAGCACAGAAAAGCTTTGTGCCAAAAGCAAATCTCAAGAAACTCTTGTTGCCCTGAAGATATGATAAAGGCTGTTTCTGAAGCCCTTAGTCCCTGTATCTTTTACAGAGGTGCATTAGTGCATAAATAACACAAAACTTTGTGAGTTTTCATTTATTTCCTCACTAAAAAGTGGTCTCCATCTAGAAATTCAGCTTTATTTAGGAATCCAAGGGCAGGAATTGCTGTCCCCAGAAATGTTTTATTTCCTTCTTTCACCCAAGGCTGAATTGAACTGATGATCCATAATATGGAGCTTTGCTGGATGCCTGGTACCTGCAGGGAGCACTCTGCTAGCTCTTTGGTCTATAATTCTGACAACAGGATGGATTGCAGAAGAGGCCTTTATAAAACTCCAAGACAAGAGCTTGGTGCTGCAGGTTACTCTAAGAGTTAATTAACCCAGCTACAAGGTCAGGTGAATCACTTCTACAAAGAAAAGAACTAGAATACCAGGCAGAAGACTCTTTCAGGCATTGCCCATTTTCAATATATAGCCTCTTTCTCACATGCTTTTGTTTGGCATAAGAGCCTACATCTGTGACAATCAGCATGAGATCCTACATCTATAATAATAACACAATGGAGAAAAATAAGATTATCAGTTCTCATTTCAGACACTGAATGTAACAACAATTAATAGGATGTCTGCATTTAGTGGGAATAATTAACGTAGTTGGGCAATTTGACCATTTTTACAACAGATAAAAAACATTGATATGAAATGCAATTTACTAAGATCTGAGAAACAAGGTTGGAGAATATCAGTTCGTTTCCATAGGCTCTTAGAATGACAAAAAAAAAAAGAAAAAAAAAAAAGGAAAAACAAGGAAAAGGGAAAAGGGAAAAGAAGGCTATAAGAGGATTGTCACAGAACAGAACCAACCCCACCTATACATCCATGGCAGACACTTTTTGGCCACTACTTTAGAAACCTCAGTAGTGGAACAGATATAACCTCTCAAAGGTAACTTCTTCCCGTGTTTCACTACCTGACATGTTGCAAATATGATAAATATCACTTGCTAACATAGGAAGGTTTAACTAGATCTTCCTAAAATAATATATTTGTTTTCCACAAGGAAATACATAAAGAACTTGTTCTCTTTTTGCTTCAGCCTTTTCTATGTTTGTCAGCTCTCCCTCAGTCATTTACCCTCTAAAAGACAATAAAAACCCACCCTTCAGACATTCCATTCCAGTCATGCTTGATCTCCTTACATTGAGGAGACTCAACGCTTATATTCATACTAGTTAATAACAGTGAGTATCCATTCTCTACGAGTGCAGATGAGCCAAAAGCTCTTTTCCCAGAGAGAGTGATCATAACCAAACTGCCTTTGGGGAGCAGTCTTTGCAGTCTTTGCCATGCGTCATCCTCCACACCAGGCCGAGGCACTGTCAATGTTATCATTGCTTGCCAACAGTCAAAATGAACTTGTTATGAGCACAAAAACAGGTGAAGAACACAAATGGTACAGGTCTGGCCCTGGGGCCCATGAATTTACCCTGTTTCACCAGCTAGGAAAGAAGAAGCCTACAAAGGATTCATCAGGTCTGCTCCTAACAGATATCTGACTACTAACTTCACAGCCAATTTGGGTAGACCCAGCTATTCTTCTAGATGACAAGCACTCATCTGACAATAGTGGCCATGAGATCAGACAGTGGCCACAGCAAGATCTTTCAACTGGGAGTCTGATTTCACCACTTTCTCATAGTAGTCGTGTGTTTCATTCCTAACTTCAGGACAGTATCTTGGTCTTTTCCAAATTCCAGCAGTGTGATATCAGGACAAACACAGCAAGGTTTATGTCCACAACAATGCAAGACTCAGAAACTGGGGAAGACAACACTGTACCAATATATATAGCAAACAGATCTGACTAAGGCCAAGCATCAGGAAGTTATGCGGTGTGGCAGCTGAGATGAGGACCAAGTCAGGCTGGAACCAGAGCAAGCAAGAGAAAACTGGGGGGATGCACATAGCCGGGAATTAGGAGTCAGGACTAGGAGAAATAGATAAAGGACAGGACAAGATAGACAGCCAAAAGCTTGGCATTGGCCAAGACAACAGTAAAGAGAAACAAGCCTGAATAACAGAGAATCTGGGACACACCTTTGGCAAGAAGGTCCACTGAGGAGCCATGAGCAACCAGTAGGACAGCCCCTTACCTGAGGAGTGGGGAGAAGCACCAGCCAGATTTATGGACCAGCCCTCAGACAGCTAGAGAGACCTGTAAGTCCCCCAGTGACCAGGACATTGACTGCAGCCAAATTCCTGGCTGTTGTATCTGGTTGCTTAAAGAGCCACCACAGAATGCCTCACCACAAAGAGGAAGAAAGTTCATAGTCATAGGCTCCAGACTGAAAGATGAGCAGGCACATTTCCCAGTCAGCTAAACTGGCACTTTGTAAAAGTACTAGTACTTATACAAAAGGATACAAATCCTTTAAGCAGATAATACAGTGGATTACATATATTACTCAGTTAATGATTTTCTATCTAATTATGAGATGTTGTTATCAGTTGCTAAACATTGCTTGAGGTTATCTGCAAGACAGGACAGATGTTTTGTTTTGTTTATTACTCCAATTATCAGTTTTGTGCAGCTTCACAAGATTTCATTTTCTGTGAGCAATGACTCTATATGCACCGTCTCAGAACCCTGACATCCAAAGGCTAAAATGAACCAAATATTGTGTTATATCTGAGTTCATTTCCAAACCACAAGAGTATGGAGGTTAAAATGCAAAAGGCTGAAAATATAGAACTTCTTTAATGCCATGTGTCAGTCAATTATTCAAAAGGAAGCTTAGTCATTTCAATCTACTGATTAAGGATGGTTTTACTTCTAATTGTCTTACTTATTGTAAAAACAACAACAACTAAATGGGTGCAATCTGAGCAGATGGAAAGTCATCATAGCTGGTTGGTCTGGCTTCACTCTCAGTCTTTCTGGGAAAACAATAACAGAAACAACACAACAAAATCTTCAACCCTTAATTTGAAAAAATAAATGAAATGGACAACTGTGTAATATGCACTAACCTGTTCCAGTGCTTACTGACAGTCATTGTTACAAGTGCCTTTCTTCCATGCTGTTTCTGATGTTGCTAACAGGTAGCCACTGACTTTCAGTCTACTACTATCATTAGCACCAAAGACCCTTTATTAAACTTTGATTTCCCAGAGGTTTTTACAGAGAGCAATCACCTGAGCTGTTAACTGCTTCTTAATTTTACCTGACTCCACTGTACTTCTTGTATTTCTCGCTACTAGACTTGCTTCACAGTTCTTTAAACTTTCATTCATTCCATTTCTATCCACTGAATGATGGAAAGATGGACTGGACATAGCATCCCTGCAGTGTAACTCGGTTGCCCAATATGGAGATAGCTAACTCATCCTTGACAGTTTCTACTTATATTCCCAAGGGTTGCACTAGTCCTATTTGTCATAGTATCACCTAAAGCTCAGATTCAGTAGCTCATCATTCCCAGAATTTCTTCAGTGGAAACTGGACTTCTTCAGTTCAATGGCTTCTTTCTATGTAGTCTTGGGAGCAATGTTTTATAGTGATAAAGCACTCTACCAATAGCTGTTACAAGGTGCAGCAAGCAGAGATTCTACCCAGAGACTGCTGTGAGCCAAACAAAATAGGTCTATTCTTCTCTTCACACACAGCAGTTATGTATATACTACTTATCAAGTCCAAGATGTCTTTAGTTGGCTGGCCTTCTCCCTGTTGATGAATTTACTTATCGTGAGACTTGACATCACATCATTTATGGACTTTATAGCAAGCAATTTTCCTTTCAGTATATTATATTTTTACTTTCTGTTGTTGTTTAAAGGCTGTGTGTTTATATGGAGAAAGAGGGTAAGGGGAGAAGGGCAAATCAATCCAGGATGGCTCCAGGATATTATGAAACCAAGCAAATGCAAGTTACAGGACAACCACAAAGATGCAGTGAGCTGAGTAAAAGAGCTAAAACAGAATAAAATATAACAGCCCTCATCCATGAGCAGGAAAAGAATTACTATTGATTTTTTAAAGCTGAAGTCCAAACCAGCACGGAGAAATTCACTGCAAAAATGTTAATGATGACAATCCAATCTATAGCTCATGGTTACTCAGTGAAATTATTCACTCACTCTTTTCAAGGCTAATGCTAGCAGGACTCAAATGACAACTTGAAGAGAAACTGTTGTGATAGACTATCACACAACCAGCAGCCTTAGATCATAAAAAGTCTTCAAGGACTGAATCCACATTGACACAGGCTTAAAAATTGCTCATTCTTTTATAAAACCAAACCCCATGTTAATTAACTAACTGATAACACCATCTACTAGGAACTGGTCTTTCGCGATTAGCAGATATATAGCTCAATGGGAGTGCTACTGAATATTCCTTTTAGAAGCTATTTGTGTCGCCCTAAATTCTTTGTGAATTTTTTGATACTGTTCCTCACAACCATTGAGATACACTGAAACCAGCTCATACTCCTCCAGGATGGATCCTGGAGTTGATGCAGAGGTTCCCAACCACATTGTATGAGTTCTTTTCCAGAACTGAAGGAGCTGATCAAAACAGCAATATATGCGTAGATATGGGATAAGTACTAAAAGGTTAACCTAGAGGAACCAAATCAGATGGGGGATCAGACGAAAATAAAGTGAAAAATCAGGGTACTCACTCAGTTTTCTGAACAACAGGAAAGCTTCCAAGTCGAACATAAGCACTCTGAATTCCATTTTCTTTCATGCCAAAAATTTGCTTAACGCTGAATGAATCCATAAGGTCAAATCCTGTCCATAATGGAAGTGTAAATATGAGACATTGATCAGGCAGCAGGACATGTCTTTCACTGTGCTTAGGTAGTTGTCTTAGCCCGCACAAACAGCACTTCAGAGATTAGCCTTGTTCTTGTTGGGAAAAGACAGAACAAAATTCAGACGTGGTCTAATCTGCCTATGGCCACACCACCCTGAAAACACCCGATCTCGTCTGATCTCGGAAGCTAAGCAGGGTCAGGCTCGATTAGTACTTGGATGGGAGACTGCCTGGGAATCCCAGGTGCTGAAGGCAATACCTCTTTGGCTAGCTTGGGTCAGGTGTCCTGTCTCTGCTTCCTCCCGGCTTCCCCTCCTCCCTGGCAGAGCATGAGACTCAGAAAGTCCTTGGTCAGGGTAAACATCACTTAGCAACAACTGAAAACATCATTTTTATCAGCACTGTTCCCAAGATGAAAGTCAAAACACAGCGCTGCAGCAGCTACCAAGAAGGAGAAAAATTGACTGCTACTGCTGAAGCCAGGACAAGTTCAAAAACCCAAAACCAAACTTTAATTCAGGTCCTGGAGAGGTTAGAACAGAGTTCTCCAGGAATAGTCATCATCTGCATTGCCCCAACACCCTGGAAATGCTGTGTAACATATTAATTCCTATGTAAAAAACTGCACGGGTACAGACTGAAACACTCATAAAACCATAGAATGGCTTGGGTTGGAAGGGATTTTCAAAGCTCATCCAGTTGCAACCCCCTGCCACAGGCAGGGGCACCTTCCACTAAGCCAGGTTACTCTAAGCCCTTTCCAACCTGGCCTTGAACACTGCAAGGGATGGGGTAGCCACAGCTTCTCTGGGCACCCTGTGCCAGCGCCTCAGCACCCTCACCCTTTTCTCCTTATCTCCAGTCTAAATCTACTCTCCAGTTTAAAACTGCTGCCCCTTGTCCTGTCACTATAGGCCTTGGTAAAAAGTCTCTTAGTCTTTCCTATAAGCCTTTTTTATATACTGAAAGGCCAGAATGAGGTCTTTCCAGAGCCTTCTCTTCTTCAACCTAAACATTCCCAGCTCTTTCAGTTTGCCTTTATAGTTCCAGCCCCATGATCAGTTTTGTAGTTCTCCCCTGGATCATCCCTAATAGGTCTTTATTGAAATGTCCTTACTGAACACCGCTACTCCGAGACACTTGCCTACATTCAATTTTCATATCATTTTAACATGACATAGTCTTATTCCAATGAACTCATCATTACTGTGAGTTAATAATCTTGACTGCAGACAATTGTATAAAGCTTCCGACTTTGTTCTGCTCTTAGGTAGTTGTCTCGGCCCACAAAAACAGCACTTCAGAGATTAGCCTTGTTCTTGTTGGGAAAAGCCAGAACAGACTGAACTGTTCTGACAAGGATTAGTTCAACCATAAACCACACACATGGGTACAGTGTCAATATGGTCCCAGGCACAACGAACCCATAGTTTTATGACATGAAGTCCTAGCTACTAAACCCTTCCAGGGGACAGCTGGGGTACAAATGTCCCATGCTCCTGAATTCATCCAGTTCTTCAGGGGTCAGTACTTTATGGATTTACAGGGGTTTTCTTTTATTTGGGCTATTCTAACCTATTCCCACATGCCAAATTACACGTATTAACTCCTGTGCGTGTAATTCCAGCACACAAACATGGTGATATTCAAGTAACTTCTTTTGATAAATTGATTTTAAACTACAGCAGTGTTTTTAGCTTCAGTTGGTAAGCTCCCAAAACCTTTCTAGAACAAATTAACACTTTTGCATGGTGAACTTAGGCCCTAAGAGTTTTGGGTTTCTCAGTTGCCCTCATGAACCTTTCGAGTTGAAAGTCACCGTGTGGCTTGAAATCAGCTGCGACAGGAAAAAGCACTCACCTAATATGATTCTCCAAATCTGCATGAACAAATAGGTGCAAAAAACCTAATGGGCCAGTCCCTGGGCAAATCATGGTGTGACAGCAGACAGCAAATAAAACATAAAGCTTTAATCACAGAACTTTTTCTGAAGAAATAGTTTGGTTTTTTTTTCCTAAGGAAATATAATCTTAATTGTTAGCAAAAACAGAAATGGTTGCCTGGTGCCGAGTTGAGGCCTTTTGTATTACAGTAACTTTCCTGGCTGTCAACAGCTTTTCCCTCCTGACCACTCCATTTTCAGCTATTACTGGACATTCAGGGGGGCAAATAAAGCAGTTAAGATGCTCCAGGGCCTCATGGTTCCACTTCATAATCACCTCTGCAACAGCTCTAGTGATACACGCTTCTCACATACTGTAATCAGCCACGACTGCAGCTATAAATCATAGCAAATAGACCATACCAGAACATGAGAGCTCCCTTCTGGCTATCACATATAAAAAAGTATGACCTGTCCATATAAGCCTTCCCATAGCTCATTTCAGCATGCAGTACGTATCCCTTATCTATACCGAGCACAGAAATGTGAGGGTAGCCATTGAGCATTGCTGATAAGAAGAGATGACACTTGCTGGGAAGGGAAATTGTCAACCATTTGTATGAGCTGAGCTGTGGATGGTGAAGGCTAAAATGCTGACCAAGTAAAGGAGTAATCTTAAGTCACCACAGCCCTCAAACTCATCTAATGGAGCTTGTACAGCTTCATTGCTCAAAACACACAAGTGAAAGACAGTAGCAAGAACTTCTTGCCAAGTTTTCCCATCATTAGCTCAGACCCACACATGGTCTCATCTTTCTCTGTCAACTCAAGTTCACATCATGAGCAACTGTGAGGGTCTGCACACTAGCATGCTTTTCCAATGAAACAAGAGGCAGAATGAATTAATCTCTCTGTTTGCTGCGATTTCGTAACAACAGGCAGTTTAGAAAGACTAAATAACACCATGAAACATATGTAAGGTTATTAAAACTGCATTGCAAACAGAACTTCCTGTAATGAAAATAACTCACGCTCACCATTTATTTATAGTCAAGATTGGATAAAGCACAAAGGTAAATCATAATAGAATATTTCTGATTCAGCTTATGGATTGGGAAATTGCAAATTACTTGACATATTTTTCATTAAAGGGGCTTGCTCTTTGGAAAATGACAGGTAGATCCATGGGAAGTTAAGCCCTAGATGTGTCAGAATCCACACCCAAAACTAGCAAATGGTTTTGTTTTAATCATGCTATTAATTTATTCTGTTCAGATATTGCCTCCACTTTTCTTAGAGGGAGCTATGAAACAAACTAATTCCTGGTCGCAGAGCACTTCACATGGGGTTCATCTGGCTAAATGTCAGCTGTCTAGACAGGGTAATAACAGTGGCTGTCATTCAGTTAGGCACAGAGAGTCAAACACAGGCGCTTCTAGGGAAAGATTAATCTCACACTAAAACAGAAGCCAAAAGTGCACGTTTCTCTTCATTGACATAAAGAAAGCTTTGGATGCTCAGGTAGCATGCTAACCCTCACCTACTAAAGGTTTACTGCTGGTGAGACAACCTCCAGATTTAGATACTTCATTGCCAACCAAAGCCCCATGGAGGTAATGGACACTGCAGATGCTGAAGGAATTCACTAGCATTACAGAAAATGTGGCATCAGGCTATACACTAAACAGTGAAGAACTGTGCTGAGGATGAGATACACCTCACCTAATTTTAGCTGTCTGAAAAGGAGATACCTGATGTTTGCAGGTTGCCTCGGTTCCATTGTTGGTCAGCAGAGAAATGTGGGAGCCTCTAAGAAGACAACTGATTGTATGTCTGAGATCTACCTAAAGATAGACTGAAACACTACTTGGCGGAGCCTCCTTCCTTCCATTCAGCAGAATGGGAGTCCTTACAAACAGTGATTTTCAGACTGCTGAAGCTGGGTGAGATATATTCTACTCATAGAAGATGTTATCTATTTGGTGCAGTGAATGAAGTGGAAAAGGAAAAGATAGTTAACTAATCATGTAGAACTTATATTTACATTTCTCATCTGCCATCAGGATTGAAAAAAGGTTGCAGATTTTTACATTCAGATTAGCAATATCTTAAGTTTGCTATCCTGACCATTCATTGGAAAAGTCTTGTTAAACAGCTACCATTTTGTTTCTAAGTGGGAGAAGAAACAAACCAACCCCAAGCATTATAATTTGAGCTGAGAAATAGGTCAAGAAGATTGCCCAGGTGGGATTGGAAATAAGATACTGAGGAGAACTTCCAAATGAATTTGTGCTTTAAAGCAACTTCTAAGATTGTTTCAGCTGAAGGATCAGAAAATTTATATTGTTGTTATTATTATTATCATTATCATTATTATTATTATGTTTACTTCATGTGCCTGAAGCACTGGATTGAGTATATTCCCTTGCTGACTTTAGGGCTGGACTGGGATTGTGAGGAAGACAGCATGATGCTTTTAATTTAGTCTTGAACCACAGTATTAATGTAAAAAATAACTAATGATGTAGTCATTTCTCTAATGCTTGAACAGTGTCTGGCTGCCAACAGTGCAGTGGAAACAGCTCACTTAGATCTTTCCCTGAACATCTCATTGGCCATTTAGTCTGTTGTACAGCATCTCTGGGCTGGAGTGACAGCAGATATATAGTGGGTCTTCCACCACCAAGGAAAGCCCACATTGTTAGTGCCATAAGGAAAATGAGATCCTACACATAGCTTCCCAGTCCTCCCTACAACTGAGATGGAAAAGAATATACCTGCCTAACTTGGCAGGACAAAGCTACTGTTATCTATTGTACCACACTCAAGCACAGGTTTAAAGGGTTGCACTTTCCTGTTCCCAGTTGCTTTGATTTAAAAGGTGTTTTTTTGGAGTACCAGGGCAGGTGGGGTTTCCCAGTTGCCTTATAAACTATTTAATCAGTAATGCCATAAATACAGCGATTAATAAGATGAATAATGCTCTTTGATCATAAGCCTCATACTACATTATAGCTACTAAAACAATACGGGGCCCCTGAAACCCTCTAACATGATTACATCTCCTGAAAAGCAGCACACCCTAATGCATTA